TGAGCCATCTCTCCAGCCCTATGTTGTTTATTATTTCTTGCCTATATCTTGTAGTATGAGAAACTACTTTGGCAGTAACAATACACAATGTACTAACCATTGTTACTCTTCTAAAAATAAAAAATAGAAAAAAAAGAACCAGCAGTAACTGACAAATGGCTGCGCCCACTGCAGAGTAAGGACCGACGCCAAGCACGTGGACACCTCAAGCGGCGACTTAACGCTGACCAGCAACTCGTGGGCTGCTCTGTCTGCGGCTGGGAACCCTGAGAAGAAAGGCTCTGCCAATGGCTTGCTCCTCACGGGTGTGCTCAACATTATTCCATACAAAAAGGGAGTTTTGTTCACCAGGTAGTGCCAAGACAGCCGAGGGCCACGTGCCGAGGAAGGAAGTCGGACCTTTACCGAACACCACAGTTAAGAATTAGTTGCAAATGCATCAAGACCTATCGGAGCCAAAGCAATAAACCTCTGAGAAGAAAACAGGCATAAACCTGCATTACCTCAGACCAGGCAGTGGCACCCAAAATACAAGCAACAAGAGAAAAAGTAAAAAGGTAAATAAGTTGGGCTTCATTGAAGTTAAAAAGGGCCAGGGAGATGGCTCAGTGGAATAAGCACTTTCCTGGCAAGCGCAAGGGCCTGAGTTCAATCCCTGGTTCTGCCAAAAAAAAAAGAAAAAGAAAAAGAAAAGATACATTGAAGTTAAAAATATGTACCAAGGGACACCTATAGGCAACCGACAGAATGGGAGAAAATATTTGCAAATCATGTATAATAAGGAACTTGTATCCAGAATACATAAAGAACACTTATAACTCAGGAATGAAAAGATAAATAATCCAGTTTTCCAATGGGCAAATGGCCTAGTAGGCATTTGTTCACACAGTTTTTATAAATGACGAAATGACCTGAAAAGATGTTCACGCATTAGTCATTAGAGAAATGCATATCAGCCAAAACCACAGAGACATATGTGCTATGGTGGCTGTAATTATTTTTTTTAATTTATTTATTTTATTTATGTGTGTGTGTGTGTGTGTGTGTGTGTGTGTGTGTGTGTGTGTGGCCAGCTCAGCCCACCAGGGGGCGGTGCTGGCTGGCATGTGGTGCTGGGGATTGAACCGTGGTCCATGTGTTTTGCTAAGCTTGTTCCAAGTAGGTGCTTTAGACCACTGAGCCATCTCACCAGCCCTGTAATTATTTTTAAAAAAGGAAATGTGCATTGGCAACTATATGAAGAAACTGAAACATCTGTCCACGGGAATATAAAGTGATGAAGCCACTTGGGAAAACTTTGAGAGCAGTTCCTCAAAAGTTAAATACAAACTTGCCATCTGACCATGTAATTCTACTTCTACTTCTCTACCTAAGAGAACTGAAAGCGTAGTCACACACAAAATACACAAATATTCATAGCAGTAGCATTTACAATTTAGTTGTGAAAACAACCCAGATTTTTGTCAATTGATGAATGTACTAAAAAAAAATGTGGTATATCCACATGCCAGAATATTATTCAGCCATGAAAAGTAATGAAATATTGATATATGGTATGAGCAGACCTTGAAAATAGTATACTAAGTGAAAGAGGACAGACGCCAAAGGCTATGTGTCACATGACCTCATTTATATTACGTGTCCAGAATAGACAGCTCCATAGAACTAGAACTAGTGCTTGCCCTGAGGCTGGGGCCAGAAGGAGTTGGGTACAGGGTTTCTGGTTGAGACGGTAAGAATGCGCTGGATGAGGCTGTGGTGTCACATAGCACTGGGTGCAGATATATGAAAACCATGCTAAAGGGAGAATTTAACAGTATGAGGATTACAGTTCCATAAAATGAGAGAAGTGGATATACAGAAAATTACATGCTTGTTGCTTGTAGATTCTGAAAGCATAAACCAAAACCGAAGTTTGGGAGCCTACGGGAAAGGCTGAGAACGGGTAGAACGGGGAGTGGAAGCAGAGTAAGGGTGCAGGCAGGGCGTCTGGGGTTGCACCTCTGGTCAAGGCACTGTGCAGCTCTGAGCCCAGAACCCCAAGTGTTTCATACACAGCCAGCCAAAGCACCTGCCAGCGGGATAGGAGGAAGAGATGATCCCACAGACCCAGCCGAGTGGCAGAAAGCACAGGCTGCCTTCGTGACTGAGGGAAACAGCATTCTGACTGTAGATGGTAAAGCTAAAGGCAAAGACTAACTAAACAGATTCTGCGCTCTATTTAGTACATTGGTTTATACAGGAGTGTAAATTAGCAATTGTGAAACTTTTCTATACTGTCAAGGTAATCAAATTTATTGTGACTAGTGAGAGTCAGGTTTGTGCCCCGGGAAAACGAGCTACAAATAAGGAAAGAGGGAGGCTGAGGGTAGGACTCAGAGGTGTCGGCGCCAGCCAGTGGCTCCGCGCGTGCACACACTGGCTGAGAGAACGGAGGGGCAGTGCGCCCTGTCAGCACCCTGCAGTCTAGCACCTCGCTTCCTAAGTGCTGCTCTCCAATTTAAAATAAAAACGAAAAACCAGTCTTTGTTTTTGTTTAATGTATTTAGTGCAGGGTCTCCAGGGTCTCGCTCCACAGATCAGACTCCTAGTGGCCCTCCTGTTTTCAGCCTCCCGAGCGCTGGGGTCACCACGCCCAGTCTCAGTCTACTCCTGGGGCGGGCGGCACTTTGGCGCTCCCAGGATCAAACCACACTCCCTGCATCTGCCTAAACAGGTGCTTTAATCCACTGAACTATCTGGCCAGCCCTAGAAAAAAGTCTTCTTAAAGAAATGGTAGTACAGGGCTGGGAGATAGCTGGGCACTATAAACGCCCGCCTGGCAAGTACAGGGTCGTGAGTTCAAGCCGCAGTACCACGAGAAACGGTAGTACACATAACGTGCCCTCGGAGAAAGGGAGCCAGGAGCCCAGCTGCAGCTCCCAGGGTCCGTGCCGGGGCAAGTTGGGCCACGCCCTCACGCTGAGCCCTCTCATTCTACCCGTAGAAGAAAAGAGAGATTTATCTCAGGCCGTGAATAAGCAAATAGGAGAGGAGGGGCGCGCTTCCTTACTGTGGAACTTCCAATTAACTGACATGGAAACAACAGAAACAGAAAATCACCATTAGGCAGACACTAGTCATCACCGTCACCGGCCAGAGCTGCTGGTGGACGCTTAAAGAACTGGGTGGAAGAGTGATGAGAGCAGGATGTTTTCGCAGACCCAAAAATATGTCCCCCAAGACACCCAAGAGTGAAGAATGTGGCGGATGCCAACCTGCCCACGGGCTGGTGCTTCCAGCACCACAGAAAAGACCTCTGTGCTCCCAGACAGGCACCGCAAAGGTGGTAGGCTTGCCGCAAACGCACAGCCCAGACCCCAGCCTGACGGTGGCCGACGCCCCCAGAGGCCTGGCCAGGCTCCTCAGGGCTTCAGACCATGAAAGACATGAAGGGAGTGTTGCAGATTCGAGGGGAACACGACAACCACCTGTAATCCAGTTACCTGTAATCCAGTTACTCTAGCCAGGGAGATAGCTCAGCAGCGTAAGTAAGCACCTGCCTGGCAAGTGTGAGGTCCTGAGTTCCATCTGCAGTACCAAAAAAAATAAATAAACTTAAGCCAGTTGCCCTGGATGAGACTCAGCCAGCAAAAGAACATGAGTGAGAAACTGTTGACCTTCAAATAACGTGTGAGAATTTGTTAGTAAGATTATATCAGTGTTGCCCCAGCTTAGGCAAGCATAGGCAAGCACAGGGACCTGGGTTCAATCCCCGGCCCCTCATGACATGCCAGCCTGCCCCTAGTCTCGGCATAGTGGAGTACCCTGTAACCCAAGCGCTGCAGAGGTTGAAAAATGGGAAGATCACTATGAGTCCCAGCTGTGTAGTAAGACCCTGTAACAACCAAATACATTTTTTTAAAAAGTTATATCAATGTTAATTTCCTCCTTTGGGGTAATTGTACTACAATTGCATTAGGTGTGAATGGAAGCTACATGATAACTATATGGGAACTACTATCTTTATAACTTTTCCGTAAAATTAAATGTATTCAAAATACAAGGCTGACCCAAAAAAAGTAGTGTTGATAAATAGACTCTGAAAGCCAGTAACAGAAGAGAGCTTCTGGTGAAAGCTTGGAGACCTGAGCTGGGCCCGTGTTGTCCAAAAGCGCTCTAACCTTCGGGTTTGGTGGCTGCCTGTCGCCCCTCGCCACCGTCTCAGTCTCTCCCCACTGGCTGTACCACAAAGGGAACGTCCTGAGCAAGTCATCCCCCCACCAGCCGCCTCGGGAAAGGCTCCTCACTCTAGGGCACCCCTCTGCGGGCTCCAGACTTCCTCCGCCCTTCTGTGTGGCCCTGTGTGTGGTGGATTTCAGTGTCACCCTGGTATGCTGACGTGGAGAAGCCTCTATCCACCACAATTCCTCCTAGAAGCACTTTCATGTATATAATTTCTTTTAGAAGAAACCCTTCATAAGCCACTTGGGGTACAAAGTGGCAGATGTAGTGACAAACACTAGTCCCTGAAGCCTGAGCTTCTCAGAGCACAGAGGTGAAGGTAGTTACATAGAATTGTGGAGCTAAGGAAACCAGTTTCCCTGTGCCAGGGATATGCCAGCGGAGTGCCAGTGGGGTGGGGGGACCCCGCAGGATGGGGGACCCAGAGAAACTCTAGAGCCACGATGTGCACCTGGGTGGGTTCACGCTCTCTGCTCTCCCCACAAACATTTAGTGATCACAGCTGTGTGCGGGTCCTGGCGCGCGAGCAGAGAGCTGACTAGTGCGGGATAGAGAACTCAAACCCTATAGGCCTGAGAGGAATGCTGGCTGCCTCAAAGGCTCCCCAGAGTGGCTTGCGCTAGCTGGAGGCCAGGTCATGCCCCCTCAGACCCTGTGTTCCAAGGCAAGCTGTGAGGAGGTGTTGCTGAGAATCTCATAGAGAAAACAGGTGCCCCTGCCTGCCTCGCAGAGCTGCCCCAGAGGCAGGTGGGACCCCTCCACTCCCCTTGTCACAGTGCGTGTCCCTCTTGACCTTGCACCCCACCGGTGCGCGGTGTGCGGCGGGGTGTGGTGTGCAGCTCTGCAGGGTGGCGGGCTGTGGCCCTGGGCACACAAGTCAGAAGTGATGGCTTGTTCTGAGCCAGTTCCATCCCCAGCGGCTGATGACAGAGAAGCTGAAGGAGGGGACCAGTGAAGTACTGCAGAAGTAGGGCTCCAGCTTCAAGCTGAGCTGACCGCTGGGGAGCTGCTAACCAGGATAAGCGGTGGAGGAAAAGTTATGGCCTGGTGTCACAAGGGAAAGCCCAATGACCACTGCCGCCTGGCCTGCTGGCTGCGACTGCCTTTGGCTCCCAAACTGTGAAAGTGAAGCGCACAGAAAGCAGCGGCCCGCAGTGGGAGAGGAAGGCAAATCCACTCTTCTAAGGTCTTGGCTTCTGTCGTCTAAGGGAGAGCACTGACTCACTTATATCCATGATCCCGTCCTTATGTTTACAGACCTAAAACTTAATTTTTGTCAGCATGCCACAGGAGCAAAGGAAAAAGCAAAATGCATAAATTAAGACAGCTAAGTAAAGGGCGTGGCCTGCACACCTGCAACCTCTGCCCCTTGGGCCGCTGGGCAGGAGGATCACAAGTTCGAGCCCAGGCTGGGCAATTTATTGACTGAGAGCTTGTGTTGAAATTTTAAAAAATTTCAAAAACAGGGCTGGGGTTGTAGCTTATTGAGAAATCCCCAGTACTGAGAGGAAGGGGAGAGGAAGAAGAGGAAAGTTGCCACAATTCTGTTTGGTGGAATAAAGGGCATGGAGGAGAGGATTTGCAGACCCCAGAGCCCAGCGTCTGGTTGGGTGGCAACCAGAGTGAAGTGGAGGAGCCCTGTGAGCAAGCCAGCCGAGCCGCCCAAGGCACCTCCAGGCTGTGGAAGAGTAGCGCTGCTGCTCGGGCGGCCTGCTGCGCTCTGCGAGGTACTGTCTGTCTGCTGAGTCCCTCTCGGAATCTCTGGCTGATCCCAAGGGCTCGCCTGGGTTCAATGCCCAGACTGCAAAAACGCAAGGGCAAAACAGCCTCGCCCAGCTAGCTGAAGCTGTGATTCTTTGGTGGAAAGTGACTTCCTCGCTTACTCCTTTCCCGGAGAACAATTCTGCAGTCAACTCTGCTTCCAGGACAGTCCTTGTGCCTCGAGGTCTGGGCAACACGGAGTGTGAAGTCCACCCAAGGGCTCTGTGGACCTGGCAGCCCTGCGGAGCCCGGGAACCTGTTTTGTTAGCCCGGGGAAGCCATACATCTCTGAGGCAGAAACAAAGATCTTAGGAAGACTGAGTAATCTGAGAAGTTTCCGGTATTGGGCATAGGGTGTGCTTAACACCACAGGGTGGTGTGAAGGTGAGGAAAAGAGGTGGGCAGGGCGCTCTCTGGCGGGGCAGGAAGGCGGTGAAAGGCCGCAGCCATCCTGAGGACCTCGAAGATCTTTGACTCTTGCTGCCGCAGAGCTGTGCGTGGCGAGGTGCTGAAACATGCCCCACGCAGAAGCTGTGGGCTTGCTTGCTACCTGGGTGCGCTGTGCCGAGGGCGTGGTGTGGGTCACGAGAGTGACACTAAGAGACACGGGGGTAGGTCGGCCCAGCACGGTGACTCCCAGCTCCCAGAGAGGCAGAGCGTAGACCATGGTGGCACCTTGTGGAGCTCACTGCTAAAACAGGAAGCAAGCTCAGGCAGTGGCGCGGGCTCAGGTTGTGTCACAGATGTGTGGGCCACCGGCTGTTCCAGCTGCTCATCACTCTGCTGTTCACTGCAGTCACTCCTCCACTTTCACTTTCTGGGGACACTGGTCATGGATTGGTTCTCATACAAACTAGCTGAGATTTATCTGTTAAGGCAAAAAAAGTCACAGCCTGACAGTCAGCTGCTGTGCAATTCAGCCTGTGGTCATGTGGCAGGGGACCCACCAGCACCATGGAAGGTGATGTCGCTACACATCAGGCTGCTGCAGCCCCATGGCACCCTCCAGCGGGGCTGACCCAGAGAGCAGCGGCACTGAAGGAGTTTTTGTCTGCATGTCCTGCGGGGTGTTACAAGCCAGCTCCCTGACAACAGCTTTGCATTCTCAGCAGAAGGACTTGAAATCATGGCAGTTGGTTTGAGTGACAAGGAGTAGGGAGCCAGAGCCAGACCTGTCTCAGTCCAGAGAGTCTGTATTGGTAATCCCAGGGAACAATTAGTGGGATTCCAAAATCCAATCTACC